AAGTTTGCCAAATTAGCAAAGTGCAGCAGAATTCCCAGTGGGAATTGCTGTTTAAGTTTGCCAATTTGTGGGAACCAGAGGGCTGATGAGGACTGTAAGTTCCAGTTAAGGCACAACTTGTGCAACAGCCCTGTGGGAGTCTCGATTGTGAGCTGGTCATTTCTCTGCAATGGAATTATAAATGAAAACAGGGTGTTCTTTGGGTTTTCTGTAGAAATATGAAGTAAAATCAAAACGATGATAAACTTCTTGTGAAAATTTGCTATCATGATTTTGCACGTATTTCATTTTTTCCAAACTTTTAGCTCCCGCAAAGGGAGTGAGAAGTCCCAGTAGGTTCAGAGACATAAGTACCTTTGAAAAGGTCACCTGTACCTTGTGAGCATTTGGACCTTTACAAATATCATACAATGGCACTGTAAGCCCTGATTAAAATGCAGCAGGTATAGTAACAAGAGGTAGACATTTATCGGCTTAGGTATAATCAATGTAAATAAGCAAGGCTACATAATCTTTTTCCTCAAAGACATTGAAACTTCCACTGGATGAGAGCCTGAGTCACTTTGAAGCTACCTCAGCTGGGATCTGGTTTGTGGAGTAGATGACATCCCCCCAGAAATCCCTTCCAACCTAAATTATTCTGCTATAAGAGGCCCCTATTTCTGAACAATATAAAGTGAGTGAACACATCATCAGTGAGTGAGCAGATGTCCCACGGAGGCTGCCACAAGAGGGGGGAACTGCCTCGAACACGGCTCAGCACGAGGCTTGTGGCTTCCCACGTGGGTGGTAGCAGAGCTGAAAGCTCTCAGACTTTGCCTCTCTCAAAGGGGCAATTTCTAAACCTTGTTGCGTGTGAAGCCTGTGACATGAGCTAACCGAACCCAGGACGTTTCTTGGTTGCTGCTCTAATCCAGGCAGAGCTGGTGCTCAGCATTAGCTGCTGCATCCAACACTGAGGGATGTGGATTTCAACTCTGCTGCATTATTCTAAGAAGGTAACGTGCTCCAAGGAGCCTTTAGATAAACAACCAACCAGCCAACCAGCTATAAATCTCATGTCAGCTTCTGCCTTTTGACTCTGCTCAGTCAGCATGGAGAAAAGCTACGTGGGTTTTGTATTTTAAATGCTCTTTAAACAGGGATGTTAATGAACCATATTCTAATTTTGTGTAGTGCTTGCAATATTCCTTCAGTTTTCAAGAACTGATCTCTGAATATACTTATGTGCCATTTTTTACCTAGACATTTTCAAGGGCAAATGAGTTTTACTGTCAAAGTATAAAGAATATTTTGCATGAAACCTGTAAGATACTTTTATATAGCAAATCTTTGGGAAATTCTTGTAGCTACAAAAAGTTGCACTTTTGTACACATACACAGAATGGAGATCTGGTAATGTGTAGATAAGTGTCATTTCTTTTAGCAGCCAAATCACTGGGAGAACATGTAGGTATACTTTCTGTTTAAAAATCTTTCTGAAAATTGCTATGGACTTCATATGGATGAAAAAACAGTAAATATTTGGACCAAAATCTACAACGTGTAGCAGTTTTTATACCATCAGAACAGTCTTAATGTGTGAAAAAGGTTTGCTACTTTCTCATTAAGCATTTTGAACTGACAAATTATGTGGATTTCTGGAATAGCATTTATACCATACCAAGCCAGAGCAGGTAAAAATTTACAAAATCTTTGTTTTCCCTTTAGAGCTGTTCTGTCAGGATCTGGCAGAGTTCTAGAGGTTCAGGTTGCAGATCTGACCTGTCTTTTGATTTGAGGAATTTGAAACCAAAACATGCCTGCAGAAACTGTCTCAGACAACACTCCCAGGCACATGGTGTGATTATCAGGGATGTCTTGTGCAGGGCAGGAGTTGGACTAGATGATCCTCATGGGTCTCTTCCAACTCTGATTATTCTGTGATTCTGTGAACTAATTTGCCTTTGTGGTCCTAACTTTTCAGAATTCTGATGCTTGGGCAATTTTTCAACCTTTTCTTTTTAACATTTGGCATGCTGAGCTGCCACAAACAAATGTAACATTTTCTAGATTAGGATTTTTTTCACTGCAGTAACACAGTCTGTATTTGTGGTAAAAGGGCAAGTCTGTATTTGTGCTTTGACATTTGAGGGAAATCTCTGTGGCTGCCACAAAGCAGAAAAGAAACAAATTCTGATTGCCCTCTATAGTTTTGTAGAAGTGCTGTTCCACTAAAGGTTTTGGGTTTCACAATGCATGTGTATTTCTGATGCCTATTTATGGAAGAAAAGCTTCTATTCTAAGACTGTACTCCTGTGTGAGGAAGGATTTTGGGGATGGTTGTTGGGAGTCTAGTAATCATTGTTCATAGAATCATAGAATGTCCTGAGTTGGAAGAGACCTACAAGGATCATCAAAGTACAACTCCTGGCCCTGCACAGGACACCCCAACAATCCCACCATGTGCCTGAGAGCCTTTTAATCAGGAAACTACGGACAGCACTGGTGTCTCCCCTCAGTCTCCTCTTCTCAAGGTTGAACAGATCAAGTGCCCTCAGTCACTCTTCATACAGCCCCTCTTGACCCTTCACCATCCTCGTGTCGCTCCTTTGGGTGCTTTCTAACACCCTCATATCCATATTATACTGTGGTGCCTAAAACTGCCCCAGGACCGAAGTCACTCCAGTGCAGAGTGGAGTGGGACAATTCCCTCCCTTGACCAGCTGTCGACTTGTGGACTCAAGTCCTGCAAGGTCTGAGAGCACATGGACTGTGCAGAGCCTCAGTTTCCCAGTTTATAAGTTTTTGAAGTTGTGAGATCTTTACACATCCATGACTCATTCTCCCCTGTTATCACAGGATCTCTACCAGCAATGACCACACCAGCACAGACTTTTGAATAAGATTGCCTTACACATTGGCTCTGTTTTCTGGCATTATCTACTACTTTTTCTCTCCCTCTATTATTTCCCCACCTTCCTCAAATTTCTCTTGCTGGTTATATTGCAACTTTGCACTTCTCCATCTCAGGGCTTGTTGGAGGTCTTGAGTGCTCCCCCCACTCCCTCTTCCTGCTCTCTTTTTCCATCTCAATTTCTCAGAAACCCACTCTCTCCTCAAAATCTTTCATTATTTAAGGAATAGGGAGAATCCATGCTTTTGCCAGTGGTCAGCAAGGCAGATTCTACCTAGGTCACCTTCTGTCTGTGCTGTTGTGACTGAGCTGCTGCCATGACCTGGTAATTCAGAGCTCCACTAGGATTATCTACATGAGATCTCAGCATAACTGGACTGTGGAGGGGATCAACCTTCTTCATTTTTCAGTATATGTTACTAACTCCAGCCGTGAGCTCTATTTTATTACATGTTGTATGTTTCACTTGGCACAACAATTCATCAAATTTGAGTATTAATGTAACAGCTGTTAAGTGTTTTAATAAAAAATAAGGCAGAAAATAAGAACCTCAAAAAGAATATGAAAGAAATGCTAACCTTAACTGAGATTTGCTCCACTCTAAAGAGCAGCTGTTTACTGAACCTTATGCACTGAGGTCTGACCTGCCTGCTGGAAAGGAGACAAAGGTCAGGCAGTTTGCTCATACTCCCAAACATGGTAAATGAAAAGCATGCAGAAAAACTTTCATTTTTTACTGTGAAACTTTCCTTTAAAATCTATTTCCAAAGGGCAAACCCTACCTTGTTGCATCCTTATATGGTAGATATGGCCACTCTGCTCCATCATAGCTCTGTCCTCCCTGCTGTAGGAACACAGAGTATAAGCAGTTTATTTTCTCAGCCTTTGTGTTTTATTGGTAGTAACTTCCTAGCTGTTTGTGAAGAGCTTGGAGAATGTAAACCAATGGCTGTAGCTAACTAGAGCAAAGCAGTAAAGCTTTATTTCTGCAGTGTCTGTCTGCAGAGACTCACTCTGTGCCTCTTGCAGCTCTCCAGGGTATGCCAGTGTTTATTCTGGACTGTGGGCTGATGGTTTTCTGAGCTTGATGCCTGAAAATTACTGTGCCTATCCTGTGTGTAGAGGTGTGGTGGGGACGAAAAGCAGTTGTGTTCCCAATGAGAGATGCAAAGGTAGGCATGGAAAGAGACAGTTTGGCTCTGAAGTGTAATGTGGAAGAAGAGGGAGCTGCATCTTGCACCTCCCTCCTTATCTTTCCCACACTGTGTGTGTCTCTATATGTCAAGCCTGGGATGTTTTGTGGAGCTACAGTGGAGCTGAAAGGAAGAAGAAAGTTTTCTCCTTGTGCTCACAGTCGCTTGTGATGTTACATTATTTCTTTGGGACAGACTTTTGGCCCATGAGGGGCTCAGCTGTGGTGCCTAAGTCAGAACTGCAGAGATGTATTTCAGTTCCTGGAGCAGCATCATGATGCTGCCTCTGGGTTTGTCCCATGGGGAATAATGATATGCTTTGCTTTCCATACCCCAGGGCTGGGAGAGAGGAGCCTGTGATCTGCCTCGTTTTCCCCAAATACACAATCTATAAATATTCAATTTCTTTGACTGAAAGTAAGAACTGAGGTCATCTTGTTTGGCAGTGACACATCATGGCTGATGTTTCCCAAATAACGAGAACAAGCCAGGTAATGTAATGAAAAACCTAGCATGTTATGCTGTTTTGGGAGCTGGTTTTTAGGAGGTGTGAGCCCTGGGTGTGTCAGGCTCACCCTGACAGCTCTGACCGAGGAGTTGGTTCTCTTCAGCAGTTAGCTGGTGGCAACAGTTGAAAGAGTGGTTATATGTGCAAAAGCACAGCAGCCAGAAACCTTCAAACCTTTGGGAGAAGGCAGCAGTTTTACAGTTTCCAATGTTTCCCTTCTGTTTACTATTATTTCTTTGGCTTTTTTCTTTCCTCCTGCAGAATTCACAACAGCCTTACCAGAAGGAGAAGCACTTTGACTCTGCCTAGACTATCAAGCCTACAACCTCTGCAGAGTGGGAATTTTGCTGTTTCATTGCTATCAGCAAAGAGTTGTGGTACCTCTACTTTAGCAAACTGGAAAATGGAAATGAAGAGAAATACAACAAAGTTGTTGTGGCTGTTGATATTCCTTTCTGATGGTGTGCCATTCAGCTATGAGAAATCAATGAGAGACAGAGCTATTGAGCTGATGCAAGACGCACGTTTAATCGATGGGTATATAAGATATATTTAACTAAACCCTCTTTGTGAATCTTGACAAGTGAGAAGGAAATGCTGAAGTGTGTTTGGATCAGCAGAGACATAGGCTGTTACTAGCACATAGCAGATAGCTACTGTTGCAGTCACTTCCCGGGAAGGAAATTTGGCTCAGAGGGTGCTTACTGTAAGGTTTGGTAATTCTTAACACATTTGTGGTCAGATGTTATGGTTTAGCCCCAGCTGGCAGTTAAGCCCACACAGCCACTTGTTCACTTGCCCCTGGTGGGGTGAGGGAGAGACTCAGAAGAGCAAAAATGAGAAAACTCATGGGTTGAGATAAAGACAGTTTAATAGGGAAAGCAAAAGCACAAACAAAGCAAAACAAGGAATCAATTCACTACTTCCCATGGCTGAGGTGTTTAGCCATCCCCAGGAAAAGAAGGCTCCATCACACATAACAGTTTCTTGGAAAGACAAATGCCATCACACTGAATGTGCCCTGCCTTCCTTCTTCTCCCCAACTTCATATGCTGAGCATAATGCACAGACTGGAATATCCCTCTGGCCAGCTGGTGTCAGCTGGCTCAGCTGTGTCCTCTCCCAGCTTTCTGTATCGCTGGTGGAGTGGGGTGAGAAGCAGAAAAGGCAGAAAAGAAGGGAGACCTTGAAGCATCTGTTGCTGTGAGGATTATTGGCAATTGACTGTGTAAGGGACTAAGAACAGCGGAATAAATTACATTTGGGTTAAAAAGAGAATAACTTACTTCTATCACAAGCCCTATTTTTTTTCAATTCTAGCCACAATGACTTTGTACTGAAACTGAGAATATTTTACCAAAATAGGCTCAGTAGAGTCAACTTAAGAGAACTCAACAAGACCCACACAAACCTTGTGAAACTCCAGGCTGGTTATGTGGGAGCTCAGGTATGTATTGCTGTGGTTCTGAGTCAGAGACCATATTTTTACATTTGCCTCCTTCCCCATCACAAAAATACTCCTGCACTTGGCTTTGGCTCTTTATGTTGAAAAAGAAACAACAATAAACTGAAAAGCCACAGACACTGTTTCGTAATATTTGTGTTTTAAAAGTTTGTATTTTCCAATTGAGCTGCCCTTAGTAAAAAAAGGCAGCGTTTGTTCTGTGATATATAAAGTAAGCTTACACCAGCTTTCCTGCATGTACTGGGGAGTAGCTGAGTGTGTCAGGAGGCTTTAATCATGGTTGCAGTGGATGCTCTTGCCTTGCATCATAACTCTTCCTTTTGGGGAAAAACTACAGTGGCAACTGCCTTGTAAACGGCAGGAAATTATTTTGGTCTGTGCTCATGAACTATTAGCAAATGGAAGATTCTAAGTTGAAACACAAGTTATCTAGTTTACTTGTCAATGTCTCTTTCAGTTTTGGTCAGTGTATGTTCTTTGCAGCGCTCAGAACAGAGATGCTGTGCGTCTGACCCTAGAGCAAATTGATGTTGTCAAGAGGATGTGTAACAGCTATGAAGAGCTGGAGCTTGTGACAACTTCCCAAGGTGATGCTTTTTTTCTTGAAAAATATTTTTTAAACATGTGATTGCAGGAGGTATATACTAAGGACAGAGAGCTGCAAGCAGGCAAGTTGTCCTGCTTTAAAGAGTAACTTCAACTGTTCCACTGAACCACAGCAACTGACTCTGTGCACAGTCCTGCCCACTGCAGTCCTGAGAAAATCTGCCATATAAACATGTACTACTATAAGCTCCTGTTCACAAAAATGCCAATATTATCGCTTGCCATTTACAAAACCAATTGTTGCTCAGTAGTGCTATCATGAAATTACCTTGGAATTATCTTGCACTGTTTTTTTCAGGTATCTCTGACAGCAGAAGGATTGCGTGTTTGATTGGAATAGAAGGTGGTCACTCCATTGACAGCAGTTTGGCAACACTGAGGATGTATTATGACCTGGGTGTTCGTTACATGACTTTAACACACTCCTGCAATACTCCTTGGTAACTAATGAGCATATTTTTGTGTGACTTTCTAGTGCAAAAGAATAGGAGGTCCATGATGGGAGAAATGTGGATTCAGACACAGTTAACTTGTGAAAGATTCTAAATTAAGTCAAGGATGATAGGTTTTGGGGGTAAATCATTGTCCATGTGTCAAGTGGCAGGCTACATCTGTCATGTAGGGCTTATTTTGCTGACCATTTGGAAACTTTTACACTTGGTAACAACACAAAGATGGCAAAATTGCTATTTCCTTTGCTATAATAGGAGAGTTAACCTGGGCAAAACAGACCAAAAAAAGTGCTAAAAATGCATAAGATATAGATAAAGGGTAAATACTATGTAAGAACTCAGCAGTCAGCAGCCTTCAGTGCTGTCCTCTGGCCAGTCTTTGCTGGACTGACAAAATTCTTTCTGGCACTGTTTGAGGGAAGGGGGATTGTGTGCAGAGGGCTGAAGAGCAGCTTTCTGGCTGAGTGCTAAAAATGCATAAGACGTAGATAAAGGGTAAATACTATGTAAGAACTCAGCAGTCAGCAGCCTTCAGTGCTGTCCTCTGGCCAGTCTTTGCTGGACTGACAAAATTCTTTCTGGCACTGTTTGAGGGAAGGGGGATTGTGTGCAGAGGGCTGAAGAGCAGCTTTCTGGCTGACAGGTAACATTGCAGTGTCTGTTCTCTGGTGGAAGTTTGTTTAATCAGAGAATTTCTGACAAGCACCTCTCTGCTTGTCTTGCATTGCTTCACAAACATCATCAGTGTGAACCTGAAAACAGTTATGAAGATAAAAAGCACTGCCTGAACCAGATGCCTATTATGTAGCTCATTATCCCCTTGTTTGGCTATGTGATATGGTAATGATTTTTATTGTGTGTAGTGTAAGAGGTTTCAGCTGCTGATACTGGAGTCTCCAGAATAACATGTTTCTCCTCCCTCCCTCCCCTTTTTAAGGTCAGAATCATCATCCAAAGGAATACACAACTTTTATCCTAGTGTTATTGGTCTGACTGCATTTGGCCAAGTAAGGATCTCTTTCAAATGCTAATCTGGGCAATCTGTCACCAACTAACAACTTCTGGCCTTATCTTTTCAAAAGCAACTTGTCATTAAAAATTAATTACTGGAAGATCTTGATAGTTAGGAGGTGATCCGGGTTCAGTCCAACTAAATTCCCTGTGCTGTTCTTCAGAGTGAAATAAGCACTAGATTTAATTGCAAGAATTGCTTTAATACAGATGAGATGTAGGAATTCATGTGTGGAAGCAGTGAGATGTGAATAACAGTTCAAATGACTTAGTTTAAATTGACTAAGTTTTCTAAGTTTTGAGAGTAATTGTGAGTGAATAAATGTCAATTAAATTAATAGCTATATAGAAACCAATAGAGGCAGATCATGCTTATGGCTATCTGACAGCTGCATAATTAATCTATCTTTCTACATACATCAGTCAATTGGTTTCCTTTAAGGAAACTTAATACTGACACTGTTGTCTGTACATCTGTTTTAGGAAGTGGTAAAGGAGATGAATCGCCTGGGTATGATGATAGATTTATCTCATACTTCATATTCCACAGCTAAAGCTGCACTGAATATCTCAAAAGCACCAGTAATTTTCAGCCATTCATCAGCATTTTCTGTTTGTAATCATTCAAGAAATGTTCCTGATGATATCCTCCAGCAACTGGTGAGCAATATGGTCCTTGGGTTTGTTTTGTTGTTTTTTAGGGGAGGGATGAATTTGGATTGCTTTGGGGTGGGGTTGGGGTTTGTTTTAATAGCAATGTTTGGCTAGTCTGAGGCAAACTAAGGCATTCAAGTCATGGTGTTTACTTTTTACCTTCTCATCTCTGAAGTTGATTTAGAAGCAGATACTTGAGCAGAAAGTTACACATCTGCTTCTGAGACATTTTCTTTGGGTTGTGGTTAATCCTTGGCTACAAAAGTGAAGTGTTTGCCAATACTTTGAAATTCTGGTTGAGGTTGTTGATTCAGGCTACATGAAAGTATAATGAACACAAGGGAAAGGACAGGGAGGCAAAGCCTTTGTTGCCATCTGAGCTTTGACTTACAGAGTGCTGCTGTGCTCACTGATGGATGGATGGAGAAGGTTCTGTGTAAGATGCCCGTGAGATTTGCAGGACACATGAGTGTTCACTCATTACCTGTCTCTTCATATCTTTCAGAAAAAGAACAAGGGTATCATCATGGTGACTTTCAATGCAGATGTACTGGCCTGTGGCAGAGAAGTTGTTAATGTTTCTACCCTTGCAGGTTTGATGTTATCATACTGTAGTTTTTGTGGGTTCTGTGAATTCATATAAATTCAGTGAATTTCCTGGGGTGTGTGTCATTGTTGAGGCTGTGTAAATTATGCTGCTTGCTTATTCCTTCCACACCTTCATCCAGCTCTAGGTGTTTTCAGAGCTAATATTCATTACACAATAACAAGAGGTACAAGGTGTATGAGTAGCTGGAGGACACAATGCTCACAAATGGAGCCAAGAACCATTAAACCCAGAGTACTTGTTACTCTCTGGAAAACATCTTTAACCTATGTAATTAAGAATGGAAAATATAGGTATGTAATGGGTAATGAAAATTCTATTGGTATAATCAGGTTGCTGGGAATGAAAGTACTGTGATGGTCAGGTCTCTTTCCTCATTTCATCAGTGTAGCTGTAACTTTGAAGATCACTGCCTGATGGGCTGAATAACAAATAACATCTAGTTAAGCATCAGTCAATATCCAGAATACACCAACTGCATTATTCAATTTTACCTTGTATTATCAGGGTGTCTTCTGATACTTTTTCAAAAGGATTTGATTAAGAATCCATGATCAAGGAGAACAGTCACCTAGTGCCAACACATCTCAACTGTAATGTTCTTTTTGCTGGATGCTTAGATATGGTTTTCTTTGGTATTTTATTTCAGATCATTTTGACCATATAAAGAAAATTGCAGGTTCAGAATGCATAGGAATTGGTGGTGACTACGATGGAGTGGAACGGTGAGTAAAATTGTACATGCATTGACATCTGCTCCTTAAATTATGATGGCTTTGATTCCTTCTAGGGCGAAAAGAAAGCAGACTGAGAAAGTGGTGTCTAGTTGTCTTCTGAAGAACACTAAAACAGGTTTTATGAAAGAAGGCCACAACAATTCCTTTTTAGAACCACATGAAGCAGTGCTACAAATGTGGAAGTGGATCCTAATGCCCCGTGAACTCCACAGTTGTGTGTTCTCACAGTGGTTTGCACATACAAAACCACTGATAGAGGTTGTTTTTCTTCAAAAGCCAAAGATGAACACAGAAAAGCTGCCTCAGCCTTTAGATGGTAAATGGGGCAGCCTAGAGAGATAATGCAGAGCTCTTCCCTCCACTGTCCTTGGGGAAACCCCCGAAGTGTTTTGGTGCTGTGAAACCAATCCTGCATTTGGGGCTTGGGTACAGCACAGGAAATAAATGTAGATTAGGTGGCATTTGCTGCTGTAACCCTAAACTTTTCTTCTTGATTTTTATCTGTTGAATCGTCTTCTTTTTTTTTTTCCTTTTTTTTTTTTTTTTTTATCTCCTGGGGTCAGACACACTTGGGTATGAAAGTCAGAGTCAGGCTCACATCTGTAAAGTAGGATCACAAAACCAGTGTGTCAGCTCCCCTGATGATCATTAGCTAATCATGGCTCTGAAACTATAATGTTCAAAATAAAAACACAGTTTGCAACAAAAGGACACATTTTATCGCATGCATTTTCTCACAAATCATCAGTAAAACTGGTGGTGGAGTTGTTAAGGTCCTAACTCCTGGTAGCAATGCCACAGATTTCTTGAGATATGCTTATCACCACACCTCAATAGAGAAGAAAAGTAGCAAAAATCTTAGTTTTCTCAAAACAATGTCAAAGACTCATGGAAATACAATTTAAAACAGCTATTTAATACAGGTTTTGCAGCTTCTTACTTCTAATTCCTTTTTATTCTGACAAGAATTAGCACAAGACAGGTCAGTTTTGCTTATTGCAATTTCTTCACTAGAAGGTTCTGAACAGGTTTCTTTTCACTGTCTAAATGGCTGAATTCAAACCAATCATATTATTCTGATTGCATTCTTTTTGGAATGACTATTTTGTAAACAACAGAGGTCAAAATATTTCCTGCAACTCCATAGCTCATCATGTGTTTACAGGTTTCCTCCTGTCCTCAGTTGCACAAGTGGATTGCACCAACTCCATCTGTGATGCAGCTGTTTCCTCTTACTCTAAAGACCAGATATAAAGACTGGATTAATGCACACATGAGTTTCTGGATTTTTTTCCCTTTTGTTCTATGTTAGTATCCTCCCATGCTGTGGCTATACAGAAGTGCATCTTCATTGCAGAATACACAGTTAAGTTCTGTCTATGGGTTTCTACATGCAGAAAAAGCCTTTTGTTGTGTCCCAGTTCTGCTTCTGTTTGTCAGTTGAATTCTCAGAGGAAGAAAAGTCAATGTGTGCAAACAATTCTCTAGAAGTCAATACGTGCAAAAGACTAATTAAAAATCTTTTTCTACATTTTTCAGTGATGTCTGTTGAATGTTCTTGTGTGATTCTTGCCAACAGTTTCCCAAAGGGATTGGAAGACGTCTCTAAATACCCTTCTTTGATTGAGGAACTTCTTAGAAGAGGATGGAATGAAACTGAACTAAAAGGGATCTTAAGGGAGAACTTCCTCCGTGTCTTCAGGGAAGTGGAAAATGTAAGATTAAAACCCAAAGTGAATCTTGACTCTTGCTAAGAGGGAGAAAGGAACTGTTGGTGCCTTGTTTTTATTTTTGGGTGGGTTTTATTTTTTAATTTTTTTTTGTTTTGTTTTGTTTTTTGTTTCAATGGGAGACATATGAAGGAATGTAAGCACTTAATTTGGTAATTCCAAATACTGGGAAAGAAACCAAGATGGCAAGAGAGTGTTAGCAGAATAAAGGAAAGAGAAAGAGCAGACAAAGCTCTTTGGAGCTTTTTCTCTCTGTGGTAATCTGATAAGTACACATCAGTGACTTCTAAATAGAATCAATTCATGGTTTGGAGAAACTGCGGATGTACCAGCATCACAGTCTGGCTGTGTTCGCTGGGGCAGTAAGGAATGTTGACTCCTGCAAATCAATTTAATTCTTGTCATGGGATGGGACTGCTATCCAAAAGGCTCCTGCCATGACCAGATCACTAGCAAGCCATAAACATAACAACCAGATCACTATGAGGTTTAGGTGTAAGTAGTAGAAGCTAATCCAGAAGGATGAAGGAGGAGAGGAGGAAAGGAGACTGTGTAAGAGTAAGGACTCCCTCAATGGTAACTCCCTCAAATGCCTCTGTGGAAACTTCCAGACTGCTTGCCTTCTACTACTTTTATTTACAGGGATAAGTAAGTAGAGACTATACACAAAGCCTTGTAGACAACACATATTTCACAGTGACCTTTCTTCCACTTGTCTTTTTGGAGTATGTTAGATGAACAGAAATCAGGGAATTTTATACCATTTCAGTTTATCTGGCAAAATATCTACATAGTGCCAAGTTCATCACGTGGCAAGACTGACATTATGAAGAGGCTGAATGTCATTACATCTAACCAATCTGCGAGATGTAGTCTTTTTTTTTTTTCTGATTAGAGACACTGAAGCTCTGTCTCGATAGTATGAACTGACTTCAGGGAAGAAAGTCCATGAGTTTGTTTGCTTAGGGTTTTCCAGCTAATCCATTCATTTGTGGAGGGAGCAAAGATAAAGAACAGCCAGACCTGTGACTCCTGCTTGTGATGAATCTGTACCGAATTCTGGGAAGTGTTTAATAGGAACACAAACAGCAGGATGATGATGCTGATTTCCTCACATTCAGATGTGTTTTTGCAATACAGTTTGGAATAGCATTGGATTTTCTAGCTGCTTAAACCTTTCTGCTGTTGTGCCAGTCTGGTTTCAGGGCAAACCTCTTATATTTTTGTAGGTGCGGGACATTAGTGCAGCAATGGGCATAGGTGAAAGTGAAATTCTGCAAGAAGTACAAAATTCCTGTCGCCTAGACCTACGAAATTATCAGCTTCAGACAGCCTGGTCCTCCAGATCTCCTTCTGTGGCACAACCTTTTAGCCTCACACTTGTAATTGTAACATTTTTAATGGTGTATTATGAATCATAAGATCTGCAGAGTCTAGAGAGGGATTTGTGGAGTAATCTGCAATGTAACTAGTTATCTTTTTGTGTTTTGTTAATGTAAAGTTATGCTAAATTTTTAATATAATTTCTATATATTCATCTGCATACTTGAACATTGCTGTACATTTTAAATGATGTAGCAAAAGCATCTTGAATTTAAAGTGATAAATTCTGTATCATCTTGGCTAGATTAGGACCAATACTGTTATTAGAAATTGTTCACGTCTAAGAGTAAATTCTGTAATACCTGACACATGGTTTTGGTACCCACATCATGGCACTTGGTGTAAGTACTGGAGTCCAGAATCAGCAGTTCCACACAGGAATTAGAGTTTATGATTAAGACAGCTGTGTCAAGATTTTTTCAGATATTACTTCTTGTTAAGTCATACAACTTCCAATAATAGATGATGGTTTACTCAGGGTAGACCACCCCCTGCTATATGGAGAAGAGAGATTTTGTGTTTGCTTGGGATTTTTTTGTTTTTAAGATGACAAGATGGATGACAAGGCTCTTTCAGTTTGGATTTTATGCCAATCACTAGCTTTAGGGAGCCATCCTGCAGTACTAAACTCTTACTTTTGAACCCTGACCCGGACAGTGGGAACTGGAGAGGTACTGAAGGGTGGAGGTGGTTCTCTTGTATTCAGGAACAGGTCACCAGGCAATTTTGTAGATAGTTTTCTATAATTTGGAGACTGCTGTTTGCTGCATATTTGTGAAGACAGGAGCAAGAACAAGCCAGGACAAAGCAGAAAGTCTGGCTAGTCAGAGGGTTATGGAAATCTTTTTCACATTTAAGCAATTATCTGTATCAGTAGAAGGTTCTATTACTTCATTTTCATTCTAGCTGGCTAAAATCAGACCATTGCCAAAGGATTCATAGACATGAGATTAGAAAGAGATCTTTTTATTATAAATCTCCTACTGTTTCAGCCTTTGGAACATTTTCAAATATACAAGGTATGTGAGGTTAGAAGTTACTCTTATAGAGAAGACCATATATTGAGATGGGCCTATTCTTGGTAGGCTCAAACCTGAAATTTTAGTCAAATATACTTAAATTCATGATGAATTTGTAAGATGGTAGCACTACATCTTTGTAGGGTCAGTTTCCAGTGCTTACTGGTAAATGCCTTCTCATGATACTTGCTGTTAATTGTGATTTTTATCCCATGGTATGTGCTTTTATTTACTGATATGACATCCACAACATTTAGCCTTGGTGTAGAATAAAAGTCCTGTCATTGATCTAAGAGCAGCATTTGTAAACACACAAAATACTTAACAACTGAAAGAGAAGGCTAAGCACAAACAGAATGGAAAATCAGCAAGTCAGTTGTTTTCTAGAGACACTTGAGACTGTTCCTACCATCCACTCTGCATTCAAACTGAAGCTTCATTAACTCTCCTGACAAGATGGTCTCCTTGGTAAGTATCTTCTGAATATACTACTTCACTTACCAAATTCTTTACAAACCATGTTGAACAATCTAGTTGCATACAAACCAAGTTTTTAAGAACAGTTCCTCAATAAATACTGATCCTGGTTATGCACCTAGAAAGAGGAATGACTGCACTGACTCAGAAGTTTGGTCCTCCTGATACTGCTTGACTGGCATCAGAACTTGTTTTACTGGTAAAATGATGAGTTCAGTTGGGCAAATGTTTACTTTCCTTCAGTACTTCTAATAGTTCATAAGCCATTGGAAAACTGCCATCCATGGTCTCTTTTCACAGGATAAGTATTCTGAATGTTGCCTCATTACATACTTGAAATGCAAGATGTTTCCTTATTCCTTCCAGGTTTTTTGCTTTATACTGTGTTGACACCTTACTGCCTGCTAATTTTTATTTTTTTTACTCTCCATACTACAGCATGGATTAAAAATATATATTCCTTTTTTTAAACATACAGATCATACTTTTATATGACCTATGTATAACGCATTGCACTTATTTGTTTGACTGCTTTGGGCAATGAATGATTTGTAACCTTGTGGCAAAACATAAACATGAAATTTAAATAAAATATTGTCTAAAACTGTATGGATAGTGGTGTAAACTCACAAAACCATTTGGAACTCCATGAAGTCCTGAAAGACACATGCAACTCTGCTGCAGAAAGAGGGGCAGGGGGTCAAGAGGCCTCTGGGTCAATCCTCAGAGGGAAGGTAGCCTCACCACAGGAGGCAGGAGAAAGGCAGGTAGGTTTAACCCTAGAGCCTCCTGGATGCAGGTGGTCAGCCTCATCTAAACTCAGACACTGTCCAAGCAAGTGTCTGTGGAAAAGGAGCAGGGATGACTCAGTCATTGCAGTGAGTTCATGATGCCATTGTTACCTGCAGCAAATCCCTAGCCAAGGCACAGAGAACATGGTTTATGGGGAACTAGCCACGTTGCCTCCACCAGGGCTAAGATAACTTCTGCTTCACAGCACTTCTCACAGATGTGCTGTGATCTAGAAGTCTCTTTTCTATTACCAGTTACAATGTTAATTCAGGATGCTTCAAATAAGCTGCTTGTGTGAAACCAACATCAGAGTGCAAAATCAACAAGAAATGGAGTCTGGTGCACTGATTATGCACATGGTATCTAGTTTATCTAATAGATGCAGCTAGTTTATTTTTCTGAAACAATCAAAACCAGACAGCTTGAAACATGGTAGAAAGGCATCTCATTAGAATCGAATTTCAAAGGTGAAATCATGTAAGCTATGGCTGTGACTGCTCTCAGAAAAACCATAGTGACCCTCCAGTCTGGGTGCTAGTGTCTCCAGTCTTACTGACAGCAACTTGTAGTAGTAGTCACAACACAGCATTTGTAACAGCTCAAACATAAAACGATTGCACTCTCCTCTCTGCCTCCCAACGGGGAGGATGATTCATCCTGAAATGGAATTCCTTTGCCCTGCACCAATTAATAACAGCCGTTTGCATTGGTAATTCGAGTGCATGCTAGCTCAACTGACAGATTCTATTACGGCTAGTGGGATCGGTAGAGTATCAGAAATAACTGAGATACAAACTTTGTAATAAGCTTTGCTGGCTGCCAAATAAAAATGCAAGTCATGATTTACCTCTTCTGAATAATGAGCTGTGCTAACATGAAGTCTGAAAATATTCATTGCTATTTTGGTAAATCTCAAAATCTACATCCTATGAAGTCCCTTAGGCTGATTTTCTAAGTAAGATACAAAGTTCAAGGCATCTTAAACAATCGAGGGGTCATGTCTTTCATACGTGTGGCATGAACAGCCAAAAACTACAGGCATAATATTGATGCAGACTATTGATTTAATTCTAAAAGGTTGACACCAGAGCCCTTCCCCCAGTACTATCCTTTTCCAGACTAATGGACTGTAGCATCCACAGGAATAAACAACTTCACTTCTCAGTTGTCTCATCTGGGCAAGGGATGATGGTAGAAACCAAACTTCCAAAGGCTACTGCTGGTCTGAAATACACAGCAGATCTGATATGTAAAATCTGAGTAGTTCAGTTGCTGTATTCAACTTCAACCCAGCAGGTGACTTGTTTGGGCCATGGAGGGACTCTTGTATGCTTTACATTGGTTATAGACTACTCAGCTGGACCAGTGCTTAACATCTGCATTACTTCTTGCATATCACTGAGCTGCTCAAGCAACATCCCAATATATTTCTACATGTCAAGGTCAGTAAGCATTGTGCACTGAGTCTGACCACCTATATAAATATACGTTTGTTAACTTTGCTTGATTTTACACATAAGGTTCAGTGGGCATCTGCACCACAGAATCAGCTTTGAAAAGCTGGTATCATTGCATCCTGCTCCCCTCCTGAGTAAGGAGCAATTCCATAGCAGTTTATGCCAGTGTCAGCTTGGGCTGCTGCACTTCTGCTCTTTCTTGGCTGCATGTTGTCCTTCCTGCCCCTGAGACAGCACTGGTATTTATGTAACTACATGGTAAGGCAGCAGGTCTAGCATGACTGCATGTTGTCCTTCCTGTCCCCTGAGACAGCACTGGTGTTTATGCAACTACATGGTAAGGCAGCAGGTCTAG